CACGAGCCCCCTTTGATAATAGGTAGATAAAAAATTGTTTCAATTACGTTTAGTAGACAAACATTTTATTTGAATGACAATATTTGGACGATTTTTCCGAAATAAATGATAGTTCTTTAATATCGAGTTAAACAGTGTGAAATACTGCTTGCAGTTAGATACAACAATTTTGTAGGAAACATCCCCGAAACCATTCTTCTTATAAAAGCCAAATGCTTTTCTGTTCTTGTAGTAAAAAACATGCGGTAGTGATATTCACATGATAACATGCAACAAAGAACACTGAGCTATGACATAAATGTAAAATTGGCGTACAATAGTCTTTATTGTATTAAAGGAATGTACAAACGAGATTATGAGACAATTACTACACAGACATCTTTCTCAACATCTTACAGAATCCACTGATAAGTATCACAGTATAAACATGTTTGAACGGTTATTGGCCTTGCGCAAAAAGGTTGACATTTCAGCAAATTGACATAAACGTAGTATGACTTCAAGCAAAGCTGGCAATAAGACTACTGGGTATGATCAGGGATATTAATATTCACAGATGGCTCTATAGAAAAGGTAACCTGGGTTAATTGTCATTGATTGATCAGGAATGTGAATGTTCGACGTACTTTGATGTTTAGGGTGTGAAGCTAAACCATTGGACCATATCAGTTTCACCAGACGAAATAGACAGCTCAGGGACACTCATACGTCTTTACTGGTTTTCTTGATGCCATTAAAACTTCGCAGTTTAACTCGAGATCAGACCATTTCTTGGAAGTAAAACACAAACGTACTGACTAATTTTGCCTTGATAAAATGATTCCTATACATTGGCGCGGTGTCTGAGTTTATACATCAATGTCAGCCATACAAATAAGTCTCCATTCCCAGCCTCCTATATTACATCACAGATATTACAAATGTCAACTCCGTCTGCTTATACGCTATTTCAACCAATAATTACATACGAATTTCAGCGTCTTTAGTGTATAGTTGCCGGAAACGGTCAACAACAATCATCGTAATCTTCGGAATGAGAAGACATGAATAGAAATAAGAAACGACTTTGATACATCTGAGTTCATTTCTAAATCCAAAGAGCAGGACACACAAACATATCTCATGCATATGTATCAGCATTTCTTCATCACTCACTGCATTCTTCAAGAATAAAGTAATAACTTAAGGACTTGATTAGATAATATTTTTGTTTTTCAATAGATAGACAGATGAAGTAAAAAGTGCTTTCATCAGTTGATGTCAAAAACGAAAACAAGATCCTAAGATAGGCTTTTAAGAAAAAAGAAACAAGAAAATACCAACATGTCGATATAATCATAATCCAAACTCAAATTCTCAAATTCGAAGACTCCTAAAAAAGTACAAAGAGACCAGGAGTTCCGGAAGAGTAAGCGTCTTTTGCTTTCTCGCCGACACCCGAAATGCAAATGTTGATCAAGCCAAGTATGTGATGTTACGTTCTCGAATGAGAAGAGGTAACTTTTCCCACAACGAAACCAGCAGGGACAGTGTACCTTCAAGAGGTAAGATAACGTGATTTCCTATTGTGACTTTCTCGCCTCTTTCACAACGCTGCTTCTTCAACCTCAGATATTAACATGTAGCAACTAGTTTACTGTCGTCATGCTTTTTATTGAGTAACGTTCTATTGCTTCGTTCGGTATCAATTTGCTAAATATAATTGCAGCAGCGATACCTTAGTAAACATCTGTTTCATTGTCTGGTAAATGACATTTTGTCTAACTATATATTACTGAGTATCTAAGAAAGCCAGATATTCGTTTTTTTCAATTAAAGCGGATATTCAGTGATATTTGGTGGCGTCACATTTCAGTAACTCTGGTATCAGATGACTGCTAGCTGTATATGGGTTTACTAGATTATCAATTAACAATTTTGCGATTTATTTGTCTGGGATGCTAAAATTAATGTATCCAGAAATTACATACTCCACATGCATTGATGGAAAATAGTGTATCATAGTAATTATACAATCGTCATCAAATTATTCTACTGACGTCATAACTTTATAGATTTCCTATCAAAATGTCTACCGTTAACAAGGCGTGATATCAATGACGAACAGTATAGCTGAAAGTCTGCTTTTTATAAAGAAGTGTTTTTCAAAGCGTTGACAGTCGCTTTTTGCTCATTAAAACGATACGTTGATGTATTGAAATAATATAAAGAGGTTGGGTATATTAAATTTAATATTTTTAATCATTTATCGAAATAAAGCAATGTAATAACTTTCCGTCCTGTCTATAATCTAGTAGGAAAAGAGAGATTAGCCGGGATTAATGTATCTACTTTCAAACTCATTAACCACTAGGCAAATCGTAGCGCCCTGAAGTGTTTACACATTTTTAATTACCACTTTAACGACAACACCGATGGTATTTTTGGCTTTAAATCATAGATACGTATCACCTAAACTGTTGACGACGCTATTTCAGGCGACAATTCAAACAAACTGGAAGTAAAAGCTTGTGAACATCACGAAAATAGGACAAAAGCAATGACACATCAATGCTGCGAGAGCCAAGATGGCGGATATAACAAGGCGTGTACAGGATTCGAATAATATTTAAAACAGTTTCGCGGTATCATAACACGATAATACGAATGAGTGATTCATTAATATAAAAAATGATCTTAAACATCAAATTCATGAGTTATTTGTACAATGATGTTAAATGTTTGTATTTGCTACATCATACAATAAAGATTTTTTTTAAAAATCATGTCTTGCAGATCGTGCTTCTATATAAGTGGATGTTTTATGTTATTTTATGTTTCTGGATCGTGACTTAATTAATGATGCAGTGTTTTATTTCATTATACAATCACTGAATGGATTACTTTGTTCCCATCTATCTGTTATTCAATTAGCATAACTTGTTGCAGCCATTTGCATTAAATATATAATGATAAATGAATCATTGTGTCAGTATACAAGACATTACAGATAGCGACCGCACAAAATGAAATACTGTCTTAAGAACACATTCTTGAATAGTAAACGCAACATTCACTTAGCTATTTGTTATTTCAATTAAGTACGTTCACAATTAAGCCTGGACAATGGCCTATTTAATGGGAATGATATAATACAATACGTATTCTCTGTGATCTTATTTGTGTGCTAATGGCGCCTCTGTCAATGAAATAGGTCATTACTGCACAAATTGTATTTTGTGTTATATATACTGAAATGCTCCTACACATCTTAATTAGTAAAGATATAGCTGTGCGCTGACTTTTTATCGCACAAACGTTTCATATATGCATTTTACATGCCAAAACGCAGGCAAGTGAACGTGTAATTGAGAAAGAAATTGTGGCAGACATAATACACACACATAAAAAAATACGCTTTTGTTTATGTGTACTATATCTTTATTCAACCTCATGCTACATATTTCCATCTCCAGTTAACACTTTTCTGAATAATACTGATTAGCAGGCACTTTTCAATATTTACCCAAAATCAAATAAGGCATGTCATTAGACTTTTTCGCAGCACCTTTGTCTATCATATGATATATACTGACTTTAAATGCCAGGGACACAATCATATTTTGTGGAAGCGATGATAACGTGAGTTACTGGTAAAGTTGTACTAGAAATAAATCTAATATAAGTTTAATATTTTCACTGCATATCTGAAGGGATTTGAAAAAATCATAATGTTACATTGTATAACGTGTTTAAATCCTGGTGTAATGTTATAAAGATTTCTTGTTCGTACAAATGCTTACACAGGAGATTACAATGATACCCTCAAATGTATATCAGTGTTAAACCACAACCTATTGGCTCACAGGTGTTTCTCCTATATATTAACGCTCATGACATATGCTTGAACTCTTACCTCATACCATTACTGTCTACTCCGTAGCAAACGAGGAAGCAGAGTGTATAAGGGTTCACTAATGTATGTCATCTTGAATGTAAACCATCTCGTTAAGAATATTAGACATAATTGTCTCTTGCTGAAATCGATGTGTTGTCGGATGTTTATTTAAAAGTATTTTCAACCACGAGGAAATTAAATACATCAGACATACAAGTATATGTTGTATCATGTATTTTGAGTTGATAATTGTAGATCTAAGATAACAAAGAAATAACTAATACCTAATTAGTGCTTTGGGGCAACGCTTGAAAGGGACTTAGGAGGTCGTTAAACCTATAGCTAGCCAGGCGCACAGTACTGTGTTACCTGCAACTTCCGACTCAGTGATCTACTGGGACCTATCGACATCACTACACTAATTATGATCGTTATAATTCGTATAGGCGTACATTAAGACGCTTACTTTGGTAATATATGCTGTCAGAATAGCCCTTATGTCAGATACACATCCCAGAGATAAATATCATGGACAGATGAACTAGTGTATCGAGATTAAACCGACATGATATTGTCTGCGTTTTGTCACATTCTAAACTCATTAAAAAGCCACGACGTGGTTTCATGCTCCATATATTTCAAGGATGTCTATGGGATGCTGTTGATACATCTACCTGTGTAGTAACATGTATAAGTATCTAAAACATGCGGTGTGTGGTTTTCCACCTGATTAGGACTATCGATACAGTTCGTGGACCTGTGTGTGGTGTAGGGCTGGATACCTACCGCTATTGAGATAAACGCTCTGTATTGATGGAGATTTATATATATGTATATATAGCGGATTCTCGCTACAGATGGGTGAGTTTCTTTCCTAATTAACAGAGATAGTCGGTACCTCCTCCCCGCGTGATTCCGTTCAGGCCGGTACGTCGACACTCGTTAGGTTGATCGATGGATAGACGGAACGCTCACGTGAAGAGAGACTCCGCCTTACATTTGGCCGTTGTTACGAATCTATACCATTACATATATGTTGGTTTTTATCTTCGAAACATTACGGCAGTGATAACAAATCGGAACAAAAATGTTATACTATAAAAAACATGAAATGTAAGAAAACATGGGAAGTTTGGAAATCACTACTAGCACTACTATAACAAGTACTACCTCAGTGAACATTTCGTTGGAATTTCGTGAAAATATAAGCAACATGCATCAGCCTGCAGTATTACATCGTTATGAGGTCAATTCGTCTGTTGATTCTCTTAACTTACCTAATGTGTCCAGTGCTATGGAATCAGGAAATATCACCAACGTCACCGAGACCGAATTTTCCATGGGTTTGTCAGAAGAGTCCCTAATTGTCCTGATGGTGCTGTATTCTATAACTACCATTCTGTCCATCGGGGGTAATTCTCTTGTGGTTTTAGTCTTCGTAAAGGGCCGAAGGTCCAGAACGGATCTTAGATTATTCTTAATCAACCTAGCGGCTGCGGACCTAGTTATGGCCGTATTTTGCATGCCTTTCACGTTCGCAGATACCATTTTAGGACATTGGGTTTTTACTAAACCTATGTGTCCTATTGTCTTGTTCATGCAATTGTTTTCTGTAGCGGCCAGTGTGTTCACCAATATGGCGATCGGAGTTGATCGTTTTATGGCCGTAAGTTTTCCCTTAAAATCTAGAATTACTTATAGACGGGCAAAATATGTGATTGTGATAATATGGCTGTCGTCGATACTTTTGTCTACCGTCATGTTGGCGGTCGGGAGGGGTATTGACGATGGGTCCGGCAATGTAAAGTGTATGGAACTTTGGCCGATACCTGAACAACGGAAAACATTCACCATCTGTGTTCTCCTGTTTACCTACATAATGCCACTTTCTATCCTTTTAATTACTTATTCAATAGTTGGAATTTTACTCTGGAAAAGAACAACACCTGGGAATAAACATGCTCATCGTGACATGCATCAGCTCCGAACTAAAATAAAGGTAAGTAAATAAAATGTAAATAAAAGTTACGTTTTAATAAAGGCGAACAACGTGAAAAATAATACCTTTATTGTTGACCCCAACCCCCCCTCATTTTCCACCCCCCTTCCAACCCCCACCTCGGTGTTGCAGATAACTGTATTTCGGACGAAAATTATTTTGTATTGCGTTTTTTGTTTGTTTTTATTTTTTGTGTTTGTTTGTTTTTGATTTTCTGGCAGAAGAGTGTGGAACAAATTCTTTTTTGTTACTTCTCGCATGAAATCACAGTCCAAGGTCATCATTATGCTACAAAGTTCGCGAGAGTTATCAGCCAACAATGTTAAGTTGTGTGTGATGTAAGGTTGTTACATACCTACAGCATGTAGACAAACTCTCACCACTTTAACGTTACATTTAGCTCTGTGGTGATCAAAGAAGTTTTATAGACTTCTCAACCTTATTGTGTACATTGAGCTAAGTAAAGATACGTTCAGAGAAATTCCTCATATTCTACTAGGTTAATTTACACAAAAACAAAAGTTTCAGAATCATTTTCATCATTCAACAACCATTGTCTGTGTATGATACAAGTCTTTGGAAGCATAGGTAAATATATAAATATAAACTTTATTTATTTTACAACAATTGCGAAACAAGTTATGTCAACTTATACTAATCACTCTTGTTGGCCCGGATGTAAGCGCGCGAGGGGTCTTATTGTGGGAGGAAACCGGAGTACCCGGGGAAAACCCACGTGGTCGGGCAGGTGACCCCTTACCTTTTCACGTCCGTTCCGGGAATCGAACCCCGGTCGACGAGTGCGTTAACACTGCGCCACCCGGAAGCATAGGTTGTTTTAGTTACCGCTTTTTCCTTGTAAAACATGGGCTGAAACTAACTTTTATTCACAATTACCTCTAATTGTTCGGGACATCGATGAATGGTCGAAAAGCCGGCCATGTTGATCCTTAACTAGTTCATTGATAAGACACTTGGTTGACACTTTAAGATTGTCAATGAATCATTAAAAATGTCACATTTTCTAGACAGAATTGTTCCTATAACCAATTATATACTTAGTTAAAGATACTTCCCTTTGTGATTCGATCTATAACAACGATGTTACTGTCATTTTATACAAAGTTGATGTCGATCATGAGTAAATCAATCAATTTATCGGAGAAACAAACTCAAATGTGAGAGACAAAATTATTTTCGTCCTTTCTGTATCGAAATTTTCTCAATACAGATACAGATTTCCAAATTCTCCACCCAGCCATTTCGGAATATCTAGTTCCTGACCATTGTTCGGTGTACTTGCTGTCGTATTACAGGGTAACAGATTACGGATATATTATTTATTCGTTATTCCTAGACCAACCTTTGATGATTCGTGATACAAGCATTGACTTACCACTAGTTCGCTATATTTGCACTAATACATTTGACACTTTCTTGTTCAATAATCATGCTTAAGTCTTTTGTAATAACTTCCTAATTCGTATAATTATGATCGTATTTCGGAAGTCGTTAAAGAACGTTTCATGTCCGACATCAACTAACAACCGTTTACAAATGAGGCCAAGAAAGTAGGACAAATATGCATCCTGACATTTCCTGTTTACAACACCAGAACGTCGGGAAAGATACAAAGGAGGAAGATGTGCTATTAAAACTGTTAATTCCTCTGAACGGTACTTACGATTGGAGTTATATCTAGATTCAACAGAATTGGAAATAAATATATGCAGGACCACACGTCTAAAACGATACTCCAATGTAATAGAAATCATTTAGTATGCGTCTTTATGACAGTGCTTTCAATGATATGCATAAAGGATGAATGTCGAATTACATTAGCAATGGGTCAAAGAATAACATTTCAGATTATATTTTAACATATTTTGATCTATGTATCAATATCAGTATAAATGACACGTTCATGAGAATATTTAGAGATATCGTCACTTATGGATAGATTCGTTGCCGGAAAACTAGCTGTCGTTTTCTGATTTCGAGACAATACAATTTACCAGTAGTGTTACTGAATAAAAGATTGTACAATGCCACACAAGTGAATAACACCACTTAATGAAATTTATATTCAGATATAAGTAGAGCCAAGCAATTAATCTAACTACATTATACAGCTGATTCGTCCTTCTAGGACTCGTCAGTGATGCTAATGACCTAAATTTTGAAGCCTAAGAAACACTTAGGGAAAATCCAAAGTGATTCAAGAAAAGTCAAAATTTCGACGGGGAGGTGCAGCAGCCCATTAATTCAATAAATATCGTAATTTTCATATATTGGATAATTTTAGAACAACGTAACCTGCAGGCCACGTTTTGATTCATTCGAACAGTGGCACGGTTCAAAATAGACACATGGACTTGATATTGTTATACAATGATCTGATGTTTTAAAATCTAAAAAAATATTAAATAATCAAGATTTTGACATTTCGTTGGATTATCCTTAATTGTATCTCAGGCTTCAGGCCTCAGGTGCCTCATGAGCTTCAATATTCAGGCCCATAGCATCACTGACGAGACCTTGATGGTCTAAACAATTGTAAGATGTAGTTTAATTCATTATTTAGCTCTAATCCTAATTTGTATTAAATGGTGTTATTAACCTGTGTGTCTATTGTACAACCTTTGTAACTTTGCCAGGTGTTTTATTTCATTTATTTCACTACCTCTCCAAAACCTCTATGTCAATATGACAAAGCTACAATAGATGTAATTGAAATTGTTGCACAACTCTTTACAAACTACCTCTTGTCTAATTATGAGAGAAAACAATGGAAGCAATTTGATTTCAATACTTGTTTTATTATAATAGTTATGCTTACAACTAGTTGTAAATGACATATGTTTCACCAAACTCGTAAACGTACGAAGATAATTATATGGGTAATTCGGATATCGTAGTTGATACAATTCACAGTTAATTTCATAGATATGCAGATCATTTGTGCGGTAACGTTTCCCTTGGTTCCAATTTGGCTTGAATCACTTATCAAATGCTCTTGCTGTTGTCATGTGTTGTTACAAGCGACCATGAATATGGAAATCATCAGAGTTCTAAATGTTATATACTGACTAGAGAATCCGTCCATAAAAGGTAATACGTGATGATTTCCTACAACTTGGAGATGTCTGTAAGACTTCAGTGACCTGTCGGTGAGACTAGTTGGTAATACAGACGCCATTACTTCATTCTTTTATGATTATACTATGTAATACATGGGCGATATGTCTGGAATTCTCTAGATTTATTTAGATTGCACCTAATCTGATGACCAGTGATTCGGTCCACATGTTAGGTGGAACATTATGGTATCTTAAGTCTTTCGTTCTCTAGCTTATTCTTCCAGGTATATGGAATGTTTGGACAATTATGGTAGTATTTTGTTAATTGTTATTTCATATATATATTTTAAGGAAGAATCTTCTTTCTCAATAAAAAAGAAGATTTCATTATTCATTACGTGTCTCTGTTTCATGTCTATTACAGTGATATTTCTTTATATCTAGCTTATAGAGATATAATAAATCTCATCCAGTATTGATTCTAAACATAAACAGATTCAAACACGAATATTCTTCTTAACAACACACGTGATCAGCATCATATAATCTAACTACGGAAAACACATCGTTCTTCGCGGGCTGTACAGTGGTAATGTAGTGCTATCTTGGAATAAGAGCAGTCAATTGTGCACAAATGACCAACAAATTATAAAGCCGATTATTATGGCCTGATCAGATACCGAGTCCACTGAGGCGTGCTTCGCATAGTATTGGCAATACAGAACGAGTTAACTTTATTTACTGACATGTTATAATATAATAAGAGAAACCGTAATACGATATCTTGTATCCGACATACCTAATGATTTCACAGAAACATATTTACAACACTTGTAAATTAGTTGGCGATACCTCATTAATTTGTCTGTCCGTATATAGATTGTACATGTCACTTGAGGGAGATGGAGGTTGTTTATAGATTGATAAGTCTCGTGGGCTTTTAACTATATATGTTATGTGTGCTGTACTCTACCGAGGCATCCAGCATCAGTATTCATGATGTCAAATAGTTGTAACATAGAAACCGCCCGCCTTCAATATACATTTACATCTTCAACATTGAAAATTGAATCAGATTTACATATCAGCGATATTTTGTATGATAAGTATAATAAATACTCGTTTTGTCAAACGATCAGCTTTCCTCAAGTTTGTTTTCAAACATTCATTTAAAATGCATGGTTGCCTTATGCATTTGTTCGCGTCATAGCTTTGCCATGTAACTTGCAATGAGCTGCTATTTAAATTTCACTCACGGAATCTATTTCCCTATAGGATTGTTGTTGAGTGATAACATTTGTTTTGTTACGACATTTTCACAAGAATACATATTACATCTACCACAGAAATCATTTCCCTAGTGTACGAACTCGGGTCAACTCGCACACGCCACTTAACATGAGATGTCCGTTAATATCCCTTACACATGTAAACATATCGCTGGATTCAAGCTGTATACACAAACATGTTTACCTATCGATGGAAGTGTCCTCGCTGATCTACAACGACACAAATCCCCCTGGATGTATATGCGATGAGCGTGTCGGATTGATGCCTTTCCTAATCTGAATACGCTGAGGGATATGATGTCAGGCTCTTTTGAGCTCTCCACCGTCAGGATATTTACTGTAAAAAGAACAAAAAATGTACAAGAAAATTGGAATGTAACGTAATTTATCGGTAACAACGCCGTAGTCTTTGATATACACCGAGGTAATTGTTCCAATCGTATGTTGAAATGATATCTGCATGAAATCTATGACGTGCAACAAGCCTGGTCCTCATCCTGCTGTATTTGAACAAACACTGATATCAATTCTGAATTAATTCAACAGCATACCAAAATCTCAAACCACACGCAATGTTTTCCATGGCAATTGTAGGTGTCAAATATGTAACAATACTCGAAATACTCAATGA